AGGCGGAGTACTACGCGCGGCGCCTCGCGTACCCCTACATCACCCCACCGGAGTCCCCGTGCCGTGCCGACGCGGGGCCCTTCATCCGCCGCGTCTTCCGCATCCTCGCCCTCGACCTCCCGCAGAACTTCGAGCTCCTCCCTCCCGCCCGCGGCGCCGACGCGACTGTGTGGTTCCGCACGCCCGACTTCCGGCAGGTGGCCCTGGGGCGGCAGCCCTTCGTGCTCGACCAAGACCGTCTCCGGAAATTTGAGGCCCCAGGACGAATCACAAAACAGAGTCCTAAAATTTGAAAAATCGTATAACTAAACAGGTTTTCAGAGAATACCTCCGATTGCAGTGGCCAAATAATACTTCACAGTTATCCAAGGAAAACCTCATGCCAAAGCATACATAAATTTTCTCGACACACAGTATATGAAGAATTGAAACTCAACACTTAATGATCGAACCAAATAGCTTAAACATGGTAAAAAAATACAAATAATAATAAGGCATACAAAAGATACCAAATCAATAGTTTGCTTCATCCATTCCTCATATGTGTAGACACTTTTGTTGTTGATGGGCGCCAACGAAAATGATGTCATCATCATATTTTTCTGTAACATGAAATAAAAATGCATTAATTCGTGTTTAATCCTGCAATCGCACATTTATTTTTCAGTTCCAAATCGGTCAATTGTTCAAATGCACCAATTTAGAAATTAACACACACAGCATGTGAGTTCAAACTTTGAATGCATCTTCTATTGTTGCTTGCCTCTCTCGTTCGAAGAAATTAGTAATTTCCCACGGGCCGAGGCGACAAGCAGCACCGGTGTTTCTTGGCTTTGGAGGGACAGCTACTCTTCGGGGTAGTGGAGGCAAGGCCAGCGTCCAGCAGCCGGGCGGAGGACATGAATCACTTCCAGGCATGGTACACTGGTGCTAGCACGGATCAGCAAGTAGGGAAGCTAGACTGGGGAGATCGGCGGCCGGCGGCGCTCTGCACAAGACCAGCAATCGTGGATTCGTTGCACGGGAGCGTGCAAGATCGCGAGAGGCGGCGGCTGAGGACTCGCAGAGCGGTCACAAACCTTCACTATAGACACAAACAGTTTACCGTCACGTTTTTTCATCAACCGGGGCCCCTGTGCGGTCGGCCACCTTGGCCCCCTCATGGACGGGCCTGTGCTGGACGGCGTCACCGTGAAGCTCCTGCGTGAGGAGGAGAACCCCGGTGTCCGGCGCGCCTCGAACGACTACGTCGTCCACGCCGCCCTGCGCGACTGCCCAATCGAGCAGCGCACGGAGCAAGGGATCGACGACGCCCGACCTCGCCACCGTCCGCGTCGTCCTTGAGCTGGAGCACCCTCGAGAGAGATCCCCCACTAGTGCACAACCGGGCTATAGCACCGGTTCGTAAGGGCCTTTAGTCCCGGTTCTGCAACCGGCACTAAAAGGGGACCTCTGCACGAACCGTCATTAAAGACCCACCACGTGGCTTGAGCCCGCGCTGTGGTTTGGGGGACCTAACACCGACCGGTACTAAAGATTTTTTTTTTTGAATTTTTTGGAAAAAAAATTGATTTTTTTTATTTTCAATTTTCTAAATTATTTGACGATTTAGTCTCTAATCACCCTTCTTAACTGCTCAAGTGTGAATCATTCATTCTAAATCATCTAACTTTCCGGCCGGTTACTCATCCTCTCACTACTCCAGCCTGAGCATGCTTAACTTCGGAGTTCTATTCCTCCTAGTTTCCAAGTCTGCACTTGTTGTTTTGCTGACAATAGTAAGCTGTCAATCCTATTAACCCTCGGGAGTTTAGCTTGAGCATTAGGTCACACGTTTCACCGTTTGAATTTGAAACTATTATTCTAAAAAACAATAATTATTTAGTAACACTAATATTTCTTGAATAAGTAGTTTGACCATAGTTTGACTAGATTCGACCAAAATTCAAAAAACTGAAATAATTATTTAGTAACACTAATATTCTTGAATAATTATTTAGTAACATTAATATTTCTTGAATAAGTAGTTTGATCACAGCTGGACCAAAATTCAAAAAAACTAAAATTTGAGCATATCTTTTTTTCCTTTTAGAATTTGAGGATTCTAAAAATTTGCAAATCAACCTATGGCTGTCAAAATCGGATGCGGATTTTCGTGCTGAACATTTTGATATATTATATCATTTGCAAGATATAGTCGTTTTACTTCATCACACTTTTTTGCAAAACATGTCCATATTTAAGTTTTTAAATTCTCCTAACTAGTAGATGTAGTAACATAACTACATCTGGAAGGATTTTAATTTTTAAAGTTTTTTATCATTTTTTTGTTTTTTTCAAAACTGAAATGGCGATTGGGGGGGGGGCGGGGGTAGAGTTTGAAAATTGGCCTATAGTGCATGTTTGTGTCTTCAACCGGGACTATAGGTTAAGACTCCTTTAGTGCCAGTTTGTGACACAAACCGGTACTAAACCGGCACTAAAGGGGCTTGTGGGGCCCTGGCCTGACGGCAGCCTGCCACCACCCCTTTAGTACCGGTTCATGGCACGAACCATGAACCGGTACTAAATGTTCAACACGAACCGGCACTAACGCATAGCCGTTCGAACCGGCACTAATGGTCACATTAGTGTCGGTTCAGTTACAAACCGGGACTAATGTGCTTCACATTAGGTCCTTTTTCTACTAGTGCCCCATGAGCTCCGGATCGACTACTACGACAAGTATGGCTCGGCCAACGTCGTCCCCGTCGAGATCGTCAAGGTTTGGCACCGCTCACACTCCTACGACGCCAATGGACAGTACGTGCCTCTCTTCCATGCCCCGGCTGAGGCCAAAAATATATATTAGAGCACATGCACCCAGGCCCTCTCTATCTAGCCATCCATCTCCTGCTTTAAGATCCGTGCAAATACATTTCTCTTTTTTGTTTCTCCCACATAAAACATATCTTGAAGTTCAAACCTATGTAGCGTGGCAAAGCTTTCTAAGTAGAATCTAGGATAAATCTTTCAGATTTTTTTGTCAAATATAAATATACAAAATATGTATTGTTTGATTAAAAATCATATTTTTAGTATTTATGTCGGACAAAAAATTCTGAAAGATTTATCCTAGATTCTAGTTAGAAAGCTTTGCCACGCTGCATAGGTTTGAACTTCAAGATATGTTCTATGTGAGAGAAACAAAAAAGAGAAAATTTCATATATAAAGTTAGTTGTGTCGCACGGATCTTAAAGCGGTATTGGACAGCTAGGATAGTAGGACCTGGGTGCAAGTGCTCTAAAATTCCATGTCCGGTTGAGGCCGCTTGATGAATCTCAAGCTTGCTTCTTTTAATTAGAGCCATAGCCGGTTAGTTCTTCAGTTCTTCAGGGAATGTGATGCATGTCTAGCACTATAGCTGGGCCTAATCTGTGGTGGGAGCTATCTTAGCTGCAAATCTGGGTTGGGGAGAGACAATTAACAAGGTTGGAACTTGAAACATTAAAATGTCGCAAGAGCAAGTCAATCCATATGATCATGTCTTTCTCTGTGAAGCAAGTAGAACGGTAGCCAGCTTAGTTCTTTATTTAGTCTCCAAAGCTACTCCTTAATTAGCTGCTAGCCTGCTAGTGTGTCCGTGTGAATGATTTGATGAATACTTTTGGTAAGGTGATGCAAGCTTGGTGTTTGGGGCTTAATCAGTGGTCGAAGCTACTGTACCTTAACTGTAGCCATGCATGGTTTTGGTATGAATTTGGATGGGAGAGAGGCAATTAAGAAGGCTTGAACTTGAAGCAGTTTGCAGGAGCAGGTCAATCGATACGATCCTGTCTTTATCTATGCTTCTCTGAACTTACACGCTATAACAACATATACTGGAGTTATTCTGCAAATAGAGCCACTTTAGGTGGCAAACCAAATGAGTATAGCTGTTTACATACTCTGCAAATAGTATCAGCATTTGTCAGTGTGGATGTTTCTCTTTCAGTCTTGCGTAGTCCACGTTTTCAGACAACAACAGAAAATATATCCTGGAGTTATTTGGGTAAAGGGTAATTTTTATTGGGAGATTTAGTATATGTAGTTAAAATTACCAAAAGTTTGACAGCAAAGCAACAAGACACATGCTATGTTATTTGGGTATAAGGGTATTTCTATTGGGAGTTTTTGTATAATGTAGTTACAACTTACAACTAGAGATGAGGTGACACTAGTCCAAACCAAAGTGATGCAAACTTCAAATCCAATTGACAATTCTTCGAATATATATAATAGTATAGTTAGGTTGAAATTTCATGGTGCAATCTTTGATTGGTCATTTAACTATTTCTGATCTAATAAAAATGAACTTTTAATGTCATTTTTTTACCAAAACTCTCTTGAGAAATACTCCCAAACTACAGTGACCCTGAGAGGGTTTATTTATTTATCTACACAATACATTAGTAGAATTTATCCTCTCTAATTGTACAAAAAAAAGATGTATATTCCATCTGTCTGAAGAAGGTGGTCTATGCTAGTGTACTTTTCATCTGTCTGAAGTCTGAACTGAAGAAGGTGGTCTGTATCATGTACTTTTCATCTACTCCCTCCTTTCACAAATATAAGATGTTTTAACTTTTTTCTGAGTAGAATGTATATCGACATGTTTTAGTGTGTTTGTTCACTGATTTCAGTATCTATGTAGTCCATAGTGAAATATTCAAAACATCTTATATTTGTGAGCGGAGGGAGTATCTGAAGAAGGTGAAACCTGTACTCTGTCTTCAACCCCAAACTGAATCAATTAACCAGTTAACGAACACTGCAACTGAAACAAGAAATTGTTAAAAAAAACTGCGGAGCATTCACATAATTAACTCTGACTAATTGCTCGGAAGAAGCATTCCATTAACTGCGTGGTATCTCTACCAAATTGTTCAAGACTAAAATCGTGGTATTTCTCAGTATCATTACTAAATGTACATTCAGAGAAAATTAAAGAGGTGTTTGTCCTAGCAAGCAAGCTAGCTAGCTAGGCCATTCTTGTCATGACTTCCTGCAGGATGAGCTTGGTATCAGCATAGCAGGACCCGATGTCGGCGTCGTCCTTGGTGGTGACGGCGGCCTGCAGCCTCTCGAAGCTGTCGAAGAGGCGGTTGGCCAGGCCGAGGAGCGGCGGCCTGGCGTCGGGGTCGGCGGCGGTGATGAGCTTGTCGAAGTCGTAGTAGATGAAGGTGGCCTTGAGGCGGAGGTACTTGTTGACGTAGTTGGAGGCCTCCTTGCCGAGCAGGTCCTCCAGCGCCAGCAGGTCGAAGGCGGAGCTGCGTATCTGGTAGGCGTGCGCCGCGAAGCTCGGCCCGATGTCGGCCATGTAGATGCCGTTCTTCACGAAGGACCGCGTCCCCGACTCGCCATTATTGATCTCCTCTGCACCATGAAAATCTTTGAGCATGATCGAGGTGCTATATATGGTAGGAGTGTGTATGGGAAGGTTGGCGGTACGTACTGTTGCGGATCTTGGGCACCGGCAAGGGGAACTCGGTGAGCCACCAGCCGTTGTTGGCCGGCTCCGGCTCCGGGTCCTCGTCGGTGGCGTGGGCGGGCGCTGTGTGGAGCACGGCGGCGGTGGCGAGGCTGATGCCGAGGCGGAGGCAAACTGATCGCCTGCCCGACGGCTCGGAGGCGTGGCGTGTCACCGCTCTTGGCCTCGGCCTCGGTGACGCGCCGGCGCCGCCGCCGGTGGCGGTGGGGGCAGCCTGGAAGCTTGAGAGGTAGGCGCTTGCCATGTGCGCCGTGGGCGTGGGACTGGATGAAAGACGAGTGGTGTGCGTTACAAAAGGATGAGGAACGGAGCTCTGAAAATAAATGATTATCCTTTTTTGTTCAGAGGTTGTATTTTTACCAATACTCTCGTGAGAAATACCCCACAAACTACACTGATCCTAGGCAGGATAATAAAAGGAGATGGATGCCATTTCTTCATCTACAATTTATATTCTCTCTAATTCTACAGTTCATCTACCTGAAGGTGGAACATGAATTTCTCAACTAGATGGAAATCTAAACTGAATTAACCATTGTTAGTTGGGAAGCAGAGTTACAGAATGCAGCAAGGCATGTTTTAAAGTTGTCCAGTTTATATATTCTTAAAAATATGATTTTGGTCCTGCATGCCTCCAAGATTTAGTTCATGGACTGATTCTCCATTTGAAAGCATGAGCATCCTACATTTGTTTTAGGCGTATAAACAATTGTAGGTTAAGCTTCTTGCAAGTAGAAGTGCTCAAGCTCTTCGCCAACTGTGTGCATTGTTTACAAGTTTGAATCAGCGGTTTTTGCTCATTGTTTACAAGATTTATTGTACAATTTTGTTGGAAATGTAAATATTGAACAAATAATTTCCTAATCTGGTGTTTTTGGCAACATGAGAAACTGCACTACAAAGTTGTGGTGGATGCGTGTTTTGGTTGTCCGAACTCAAAAGATGCAGCTTCTGTACAAGAAAACATAATGCCGGAGGCACCATACAGGAGGCAAATACAAATTCAATTAGAGTGTCAAATTGGTCAAAGTGAATGTTGCACATGCTGAACCAAGTTTAGTTCATTACTTCAGGATCAGGGGCAATGCCATCTTCATCCAAAAATTCAGCTCAGGATTACAGGCGACAAAAGAAAAAATAAATCCTAATTGCGGTGAGATTGAACATGACAGCTGCCATTTATTTACCTACACAATGTATTAGTACAATATATATCCTCTCTAATTGACAAAATTAAAATCACCGACTCTACCCGTGTATATCTTGTCATCTGTCTGAAGGTGTACTCGTGTATTTCTTTTCATTTGTCTGAAGGTGTACTTCTCATCTGTCTGAAGAAGGTGAAACCTGTAGTATTCTGTCAACTGCACCATTTCAACCCCAAGCTGAATCAACTAACCGCATTAACGAACACTGCAGCTGATAAAAAAAAACCGCGGAGCATCACATTAGCTCCAGATCCTTGGCACTGGCCGCCAACCTCGCGTTCTCACGGTCGCGCTTGAACACAAAGTACAGCGGGGTGTAGAACAGGCAGCACAGACCAAAAGGAACAATCATCATGGTCAGCAGCCCTCTCGAGAGCGCATACGCCCCTGCCACCGACCCGTCCGCTAGATTCACCGTCTTTGCGTTGTAGCCATATACCCTCTCGGTCACCATGCCGACGGCAGGAGCGGCCAGCGAGGAGAAGGAGCCCTCGAACGCGCGGTCAAACGCGTAGATCATGGTGCGGTGCTTGGGAGGGACCACCTCCGCGAACATCGGGTTGTTTGCGCAGGTGGCGCACCAACTTATGGTGAGCCCCATCAGGAACAGCGTGACGGCGTAGCTGTACCAGTAGTCGACCGACTGCGGGATGACCGTGAGGAGGATCCATGTGAAAGGGATGCCCATGAAGGCACTGAACTGAGCACACATGATGCGGCCTGAATCCGGGTAGTGTCTTGACACGCGGTCTGCAATTACTCCACCAAGAAATGACCCACTCGCGCAGCCGATGGCGAATAGGCTGTTTAACCCCGCCGAGCTTTTGTTATCGAAACCTACGAGGTTTCAAGACTTTGTTAATGTTTAACTCCAGCAAGGAGTTATTGTCAGTTCAAATACTGGAAATGTCCGTTGGTTTGTACTCGTACCAATTAGCTCAAACCACATTGTGAAGAAAACGACAGCAGTCCATGGCAAGGAGCCGACTATGCCTTGCAGGACGATGATTTGAAATGTCCGCACTTTCATGACAGATCTTGCTGTTATCCATGAATCCTTCCAGATGGACAGTGGAGGGAAAACACTGTTACCAACCAAACGTGACCTGCCATTTACATGAGATAGCAACATTATGCTTCAAGGACAGATACACATACTGTTATATGGAAAGTTAACGTAGAATCAAACACATCAGCTTAGAAAAGAAAACAATTACAAAATTCCAACTCAGCTGAAAAGTTGAATGAGAAAAGTTGCAAGCATGATGTTGGATATAGTGAAAACAGAAAATAAATGCCAGCACTTGATCACCAGCAATACTACTACTACATGCTAATTATGCTTTCACGATTCATCTAAACTATTAAAAGTCTATCAAAGAATTTATCAAAAATCAGAAGAAAACCATACCTCTCATGGGTGTCGTCGTCACCAAAATTCCCTGGAGATGTTTTTCTAGGATCAACGGTGTAAAAGTAAACAAGAAGCCCAATCAACAAGCTTGCAAACGCGACCACAATAAATGCAAACCGCCATCCAGGAAATCCCCAATAATCCCTTCCAGCCATAACTGTCGCCACAATACTTCCTCCTATACCACCTATTGAGCCAATGAGACTCAACAAACCAAATCCGGCGCCACGGGTGCCCTCTCTGTAGCTATCAGCAATGAAGGACTGAAGTGATGGTATGACAATGGCAAGTCCAACACCATTTACACCTCTCCAGAATGCAACCTGCTGAAAATACTGGCTGACACCAACGGCCCCTGTTGATAGAGCCCAGAAGACAGTTCCGACCGCAAGAATAGTGGGGCGATCATACTGAAGAGCAAGGACACCTGCCAAGGGAGATGCTATGGACTTCAGAAAGTTCATTATAAACGTAAGGTACCCCAGATCAGTAGGACCAGCATCGAAGGCGGCACTGACTTCCTTGTAAACAGCGGGGAGGAGATTCTCATCAGCCCGCTCCATTATGGAAGCCAGGTTGATGAGGATAAGGGAAATGGAGAATCCATATATCATCTTTTTTCCCCTGAAAGAAGGCAAAATAATAATTAGGTAAACATTCCATATACCCCTATGGATGCCACATGACAGTAACAGAATCCTGGGGATATTTCTGTGACACAACAGAGTAAACATGTTTCAATCCACTATTCACATCATCAGTGCAATTAAGCTTAAATTCACTCCTTAAGTCCTTAGCAAGGATCTATAGGGTGTCTCACATGTGCAAAGTATGTTTTGAGGCGTGGCCAATGGGTGCAAAAGATCTAGAATGAAACGGTTGTAATGAATGAATACTGAAGTATGCTCCAAAAAGTTAATTGCATTCACACCACATAGGAATTGTAGACATAATACCTAGAAGAGTTCCTGTTTTTCATGCTTTGGACTGTACGCATAATATTTGGTGAATTTGTCACTATAAATTGGAAGGGTGTGATGAGGAAACGTTCAAAGATTTCCATGCAAAACTGCAAAGTAGAGTATCTTAACTGCTATACTACTAGTTGGTTTAAACGAATGAAATGTCTCCCCTGGAACTGAAGCTTAGGACCTAGTACTAGTTAACAAGCCAATCCATCTAAAACAAAGCTATATATGCCGATCGCATGATGCTTAAGGTGGTCTCACAGAGGTACCAAGAGTCTGCCGTGGTGGTTGTCATGAGATCCTCGCTTTCAGGCTACATCAGCATCCGAAAAGGGAAGGGGTGACAATGGAAGAACAAGAATATTCCTGTTTCCCCTGTTTCACTCAAGGATCTGAGAACCGGACCGAGAATGATAACGTTCCTCCGTCTCACTTGAATCTCTAGCATTCTGCAAGTGCAGGGAGCTGAGCGCAGCCTCACAGCCACAGATACTACCACCAGATTCGTGTGGCTTGCACTTAGTGGAGCAGGCAACCGGCCATCGTTAGCAACCAGACCACACGGCTAAGGTCAACGGGATTACGGGATCGAGCTTGCGGCTGGCGTCCCTGGATCAGATTCACCCCGGCCATCAATCAAAATGGCATTCCCCAAACGCACATCCGAGTCGCTCGCTCGGGCACCTGAAGGCATTGCTCGAACACACATCTACGCATCTGCCTTTGCTGGATACAGAGCCTGATCCACTAATTAATCCTGCTCCATCCCGCCTCATTCGTCCGGGTAACGCATACAATCAGTGGGAAATCCCCTGTCTTGGCCTAATTAACTCGAGATGGGCGCCAGATGAGCACCATTCACGCATAGAGCTAGCATAAAAGAAAGAAAATTCCCCATTGGCCTGACGAAGCTATCTATGCAGCAGTGCTGGAATCCAAGGGAGAGGAGAGGAACCAGCGCGTGTGGAGCCAGGAGCTTACCTCATGCTGGAGGAGCGGAAGGCCAGAGCCTCGCGCGGTCCGCGCCCTGGTAGGCTGGTAGATCCGCGCCTGGGAGGAGAGCCCTCGGTTTCTTGCTTCGCTCCCCGGGTGTTTTGCCCCGGATTGTGGGTGGAAAATCGGAGCAAGCAACGACTAGCGACGAGGGAGGGGCAGGACGGGAAACTGTCGGCCTGCGTCCGTGGGCGCGGCCAATGGAAGGAGCGGTGACGAGGTGGCCTGCGTCCCGGGTCTTGCGTCCCCGTCAGGCCGTCACCTCCAGTCTTGGCGGTAATACCCTTGTCTCAAGGATTGTCTACGCTCGAGGTGTCTATAAAGTTAAGTTTTTTCTCCAAAAGAATCATATCTATCACGAAGATTCACCGAAAGTACAAAGCACTTCAAACATAGTAAAAACTACATTGAGATTCATGGACCACCGAACGACCACTATCACCACCAGAACGAGTCGCCGACGCGCCGCTGTCGCCGCTCCCGTACCGAAGCCGGCCTGACCTTGTCGATGTCAGATTGGATCCGGGAGCTGTCGAGAGAAGTCGATTTTTTTAAGGTTTTTTAGTCTTAGGGGGGCTGCTGTCCCTATGACCCATTTTGCACTGTTTTTTTTTCTATATGTAAACTAGAATTGTGTACTATAAACAAAAATCTTGCAAAACAAAATGAACAGGTACATAATTATTTTATTAAAAGCAAGAACATTTTAAACTTATATAACATTTATTTAAATATAGAAAAATATAAAGTTTCTTAAAGCTTGAACACTTTTTGTATACTACACAGATATTTTGTTAAAACTGTTAAGATTTTCAAACTTCTATAAACATTTCTTCAAATATATAGATGAACAAAAACCTTTGTAAAGCCTGAACACTTAAATATACTACATGAATATTTTGCTTTGAACTTTGAACAATTTCAAATTTCTATAAGCATTTACTAAAATACATAGAAGCATATAAAATTACTTTGATGTATTATATATTGCATGAATAGTTTTGTATTTTATAATTTAAATATATGGATAAATGTTAAATTAAAACTTGATTATTTTTGTAATGCAATTAATTTTATTTACATGTGTATTATTTATATCACACGATTATAATTTACATATTTTCTATAAGATTTAAAGAAGTGCAAAATGGGCCTCATGGACCGCGGCCCACTTAAGACTCAAAGAATATATTTCAGATGTATCCATATAGGACATGAAATGCTCCTGTGGAACCGAGTTGACACGTGAACCCATGCGGCCAACTACTATTCAAATTGACTCGCGCGAGTTTTTATTAGAAAATAAATATGAGGGAGTTTTCAAACAATAGTAGGCCACACGCCTTGCCTCCGTCATTTGGTTGCTGACCGCGGGCCCCATGCCATGCTGGTGCGCCTCGTTAGTGTCGATTTTGTATCCGAACATAATTTGCACCGTACATGTATGCCTGAGCCAACTTGTGGCACCAGTTCAATATCTGCTGCAAGTTTTAGCAGTAAAGTGAATTTTCTTA